CCGGGAGAGATGAATAGAGCACAGGGGATTTTGGGAGCAGTGAAACTATTCTGTTTGATACTGTTATGATGGATACATGTCCTTATGCATTTGTCAAAACCCATAGAAGGTGAAATACCAAGAGTAAACACCAATGTAAACCGTGGACTCTGGGTGATGATGATGTGTCAATGCAGGTTCATCAGCTGTTACAAAACTACCACTCTGCGGGGGATGTTGATAGTCAGCGAGGTTGTGCATTGGGTGGGGGCAGGAGGTATATGGGAACTCTGTATTTTCTGCTCAATTTTGCTGTGAACCTAAAACTGCTCTAAAAAATACAATCCATTAAAAATCCTTCACTGGGTACAGTGGCACACACCTGTAATCCTGGCACTTTGGGAGGCCGAGGTGGGTAGATCACCTGAGGTCAGGAGTTCAAGACCAGCCTGACCAACAAGGTGAAACTCCGTCTCTACTAAATACAAAAAATTAGCTGGGCATGGTGGTACATGCCTGTAATCCCAGTTACTTGGGAGGCTGAGGCAGGAGAATCACTTGAACCCAGGAGGCAGAGGTTGCCGTGAGCCGAGATTGTGCCATTGCACTCCAGCCTGGGCAACAAGAGCGAAACTCTGTCTCAAACAAACAAAACCCCACAATTCCTATAGACAGATTTGGGGGATAGGCATTTCCTGTGGGTGAAGAGCAGCATTGCATGAGTGGAGGGTGTCAAGAATAGAGACCTCAGGTATGGGGAAACAGGTGGGGCAGGGCGGGTGTGCCGCTTTGGTCTGGGTGTGAGTCAGTAGGTCCCCCACCCCCAGCAGTTCCCAAAGGTGCTGGGGAAATTTTTAAAACACCAGTGATAGAATCTCACCCCCATAAGTGATAAGGCCTGAGCATCAGGATGAAGTCTCCGCAGGGGATTTTAATGTGCAGGGTGAGGACTGCTTCAGTTGGCAACGGGAAGCCATTCAACTTCCTGATGGGCATTTCAGGGGCACGTGCCAGGGAAGAGGGTTTGTGTCACTTTTAGACAGTCAGCTTCTCAGGGGAACGTCTGTCTGCGCTGTGTATACCAGAAGCTCCACAAATGTCTCAGGACATCGATGACAGCCCCTCAGTAGAAGACCTCCCTGTTCTGCCCCTTCTGCCTTGCCCCAGGAGGTTCCAGCTATAGTTGATGAAGCAAAACTTCCCAAGCCAGAGGCGTACTTACAGATTATTGTCTCCACCCACCTTGTCAGTGCTTCAGTCACCCCTTTCGCCCCTAACAGCCAATCAGACTTGACTGGGGCATCAGCACCTTCCCCTGCTTCCTGCTTGATGGAAGCAACATCTGATCCTCAGCAGGGATCAGGGCCTCTGAAGTGCAGGGATCAGGGCCTCTGAAGTGCACTCAGAATACCAGGTGCTGCCGGCTCCCTGGGTCTGGCTATATGCCAGGTGCGCTCCTTGCCTGGCTTCTCTGACTCCTAATCCAAATGAGCCAAGGGTCCGAGGGGCTGCACAGGCAGTAGGTGTGGAGCACAGCTCTGAGCACAAGCCTGGGCCTCCAAGCTGCGCTGCTAATGTAGGGCCTGATCTCCCACCTGTCCCTTACCCTGCAGGTCACCTTCATGCTGCTGGACCAGAACAACCGTGAGCACGCCATTGACGCCTTCCGGCCTGACCTAAGCTCGGCGTCCTTCCAGAGGCCCCAGAGTGAAACCAACGTGGCCAGTGGCTGCCCACTCTTCTTCCCCCTCAACAAACTGCAGTCACCCAAACACGCCTATGTGAAGGACGACACGATGTTCCTCAAGTGCATTGTGGAGACCAGCACTTAGGGTGGGCGGGGCTCCTGAGGGGGCTCCAACTCAGATGGGAGCTGGCCAGAGGACTGTGATGCCCTGCCCTTGGCACCCAAGACCCCAGGGCACAAAGATGGGCGGAGGTTGGCACAATCCGAGCAAGACTGAGGGGTCGACTTTGGGCTGGCCATCCGGTTAGGATGGCAGGACGTGGGCTGGGCCCACAAAGGCAAAGGGTCCAGAAGGAAACAGGCAGAGCTGCTCCCCTCTGCACGGACAATGCAATACCGGGAGACCAGGGAGCCACTCTGGCCCTGAATGTTGAGGTGGACTGTCACCAAGATGGGAAGAAAATGGAACCAGGTCTGGAACCGTAGGACCCAAGCAAAGAAGCTCTCAAGCTGGAAAGATCTCTGCAGGGCCACCAGAGAGACCTGGACACAGGCCTGCCCTCTTTTTGTCCAGGGTCAGAAACAGGACCGGGTGGAAGGGATGGGGTGCCAGTGTGAATGCAGTCTGTCCAGGCCTGGACTGAGTTCCCCATCACTGGAGGTGAGCAAGCAAACCCAGAGGGCTCTACTGAGACTTCAAATTGGGGGTTGCATTTGAAGACTTTTAAGGTTCCTTCCAGCCCAGAAAGTCTCTAATTCTAGGCCTCCTGGCCCAGGCAAGTCCTAGAGCTACAGGGTTTCTGGAAACATTCAGGAGTTTCCTGCCCTCCTGGCTCCTCACTCACCTTCAGTAACCCCTGCTGGACTGACCTGGCCCACAGGGCACCTGCCACCCTGGGCCTGGCAGCTCAGCTTCCCCAACACGCAGGAGCACACCCAGCCCCCATGTCATGCCTCCATCAGCTAAATGCCACTTCACTTCATGAAGGTGAAACCCGGTCACTGTGAGCTCCCAGGTGCAGCCAGCAGCACCTGGGAGGCATAAACTTTCCTCTTCCTGCCTGGAGGCCCCACTTTTGGTGCTTTCCAGAATCTCTCAGCACACTGATCAGGACCTCCAAGCCACTGAGCAATGTATAACACCAAAGAAATAATTCTTAGAATCTCTTTTGAAGTTTTCCTAAAGTGTATGGTTTGGGAGTTGTTTGTACTGAGCCAGGTTTGAAAAGGGTTTGAGGTGGTGCCACCAGTTTTGCAGGTGGCATCAGAGGCTGGCGTGCTGGCAGAAATATCCCCTCTTAGCCCCAGTCTTCTCTTTTCTATAATGAGACCCACCCCAGCTTGCCTCCCGTCCTGGTTTCTCTGACCCTCAAAGGAGATGCCGCACAGGACAGACTGGAGAGAGAAGCCTGGGCAATGCTGCCTGCCTGGTGGTGGCCCACACCTGTCTTCTCACCTTAGAGGCCACACTCAACTTTCCAAAGACCCTGAGACAAGTCAGGACCCTACCACTCTCCCCTACTGCCTTCCTGACAGCTTACTCTTCCTCCATCTGCTGAGCCTGTGCTAGACTTCACTCCTCAAACCATTAGGATTGCTTCTATAAAATGGGTCAGTAGCCCTTCCTATTCTCCCCTGCCCAGCATACAGGAGGATCAAAGGAGGTGAGGGAGCATCATGGCACAGCAGACTCAATGGGTCAGAAACCCAGCCCAGCCGGGCTCTAAGCCTGGCATCCTGTCATGCTTAGCCCTTCAGGAGAAGATCAGGGGAAGCCCCTCCCTTGCCCTGTCCAGCTCTAGGGGTTTTCAGGAGGCCCAGTCGCAATAATGGAGCACTAGTGCTTTTATGTGCAATGACGTCGTCCATGCACAATGGCAGCAAACATTCTGGGGCTGCTTTTTCTTGTTCCCAGCTGTGACAGTGTGGCAGCAGAGACTGTGGAGGCAGTGGAGACTGACTTCTTCCCGCTGGCAGCTGGATGTCACACATGAAGGTCTGGCCTAGCGAGCAATGGGTCTAGGCCCTGAAACTGATGTCCTAGCAATAACCTCTGGATCCCTACTCACCAAGTGTTGGGTCAAAGGGGATTTGTAGAACAAGCCCCCATGAGAAACAGTTGTTACTGTACACTTTTGATTGTCTATTTCTGATGGCAAGAGATACATACCCTCTTCAAAGAGCATGAGATGCAGCCATTCTTTCAGCAAAGCTTCATTGACACCTAGATCTGTTAACTGTGTTCGACATTGAAGGGAGAAAGGCAAGATGTGCACTCTGGCCTCAAGAAACTCTTAGTTCAGTGGAGGAAATGAGCACATAAGATCATTATGACAGAGTAAGAGAAGATTAGAGAAAGCACAGAATCCCAGTGGGTGAAGGAGGGAAGGCTTCAGGGAAGAAGTGGCATTTAAATTCAGCCTGAGAATATTTTGAAATGCAGAGGATGGGGAAAAGGGAAGCGTACCGACTTGAAAATGGGAAGCAGTCTTGGCTGAGGGCAGGGTCTGTGTGGCAGGATGGAGAGGGAGGCAGAAGGGTCAGATGAACTGGAGTGTAGACAGCATCAGCTGCAGCAGTGCACCTCCCCCTCCCCGGGAAAGCACCTCCTGGTAACCCCTGGGCCTATTGAAAGCAGGATGAGACGATAATTTAAGATGCTGAATGATTGAATGATTTCTCTTCCAACAAAGCTCTATGTTAAGTGTATCAAAGACGTGACGTCACATCATGTATAGGTGATTCAAGGGTCAGGGAGACAAGATGCAGGCAAAGCCACCGTTTCATTGGGTGGATTCAGTAGGTCCCCCACCCATAGCAGTTCCCAAAGGTGCCAGGGAGATTTTTAAAACACCAGCGACAGAATCTCACCCCCGTAAGTGGTAAGGCCTGAGCATCAGGATGAAGTCTCCGCAGGGGGTTCTAATGTGCAGGGTGAGGACTGCTTCAGTTGGCAACAGGAAGTCATTCGGGTTTCTGATGGGCGTTTCGGGGACAGGCACCAGGGAAGAGGGTTTGTGTCACTTTTAGACAGTCAGCTTCTCAGGGGAACCTCTGTCTGCGCTGTGTACACCAGAAGTTCCACAAATGTCTCAGGACATCGATGACAGCCCCTCAGTAGAAGACCTCCCTGTTCTGCCCCTTCTGCCTTGCCCCAGGAGGTTCCAGCTATAGT